TGAGCCTGTGGCCTCCCGTGAACTCGCCTGGCCACCTGTGGGGCTCATGGCACTAACTCCCCTCTCTCTCCCCACAGTGTGACAGCGAGAGTGACGGGGATGACAAGGTAAGCCCTACGGACCCCCCCAGCTGACTCGACCCACAGGTGGCCCCGGAGACCTGGCAGGAAGGTGCTGGGGCTCCTGTGGGGTCAGGGGCACCTGGTCACACAGCTGGGACCTGGGCCGGCGAACAAGTGAGTGTCCCACTGAGGAGTCGCAGGTGGTGAGGCAGGCAGGCTGGGACCCCTCGTGCCTGTGGGGCCTCCCTGGGGGCCGGGCACGCAGGCCCTGCGGACAATGTGCCTGCGGGCGCTTGTCGGGGTGTGGCCTGGAGGGCCCGCTGAGCGCTGCCTGGTGTTGGGTCAGGTTTCTGTGAAACGAAGTGAGTTCCGTTGGGAGGTCTGGTATGTGGCTCTCGGCTCCGCGTCCTGGCCACGTCGGGCAGACGCTGTCCCAGCTGTGGGCAGGCGGCGGGCACACGGTCCTTTTGGTGCTCAGTGGACAAGCCCATGCAGGTGTGGAGAGGGCTGGACAGGCCTGCGGAGGACGCTGGGGGCCAGGTGCCATGGAGGTGGTGGGCAGCTGAGAGCAAGCGTTTTGTCCCAAGGCCTGGGAGGGGACAGAGGAGCAGTGTGGACAGGCGAGGTCTGAGATGCCCAGGACGGGCCTCCAAGGGGAGCTGGCCCCAAAGCCCTGAAAGGGGTCGTCATTGTGGTCTGGCCCGCGGGGAAGATGGCAGAGGTGGCCAGCGTGCTCTGGGGCCCAGGGCCCTCCCCTCCGCCACCCTGGGGCCTGCGGGACGCCTGTGGGTCCCACTGCCCACAGCACCCGGGTGCTGGGACCTGTCTTCCTGAGGAGCTGTCTGTCACCCTGCCTGTAATCAGTCCAGTTGGGCACCTGGGCACATCACCTTCAGCGCCTCCTTTAATTGGGAACCACTTTTTGGAAATGCTCTCTGAAGCCAAAGGCTGCTCTGAGGGGCAGAGGGAGGGTTCCTGAGGCTGCTGGCTGCTCCGTCCACGGGCCCCCGTCGGCCAGCACTACAGTTGCTGCCCACAAGCTCCGCCTGCCTGGCCCCGTCAGTGCTGGCCTTGGCGAATTTTTCCCTGCACCCCGGGGTCTAGCCAGGACAGGTCCCTCACAGCAGCTCTGACTCCCAGCCCTCCCTCCTGGCTTCAGGGGCAGGGGCCAGCCACCCTGCGCACGGCCCGCAGTCGGGAGCTGCTGCTGCTGTAACAGAAACCAAACTCGACAGCGACAATAGCTGTGGGCCTCCAGCTCCTGTCTGTCCCTGTGGCCGTCCTGGCATGTGGCTCCACCCTCCGTCTCGTCTGGGTCCGAGGAGGCCTCTGTGGCACCAGCCGTGTCATTTGCGCCCTGTTTTCCCGCTCCGTCGATGGTGAGGGCTGGCACCTCTGCAGGGCGAGGCAGGGACGAGGGTGCAAGCGTCCTGGCGCCTGGAGCAGAGGGCGAGCCCAGAAGACCATGTGGCATAAATCAGCATGAAGTTCAGGTTTTGTTCCAGGTGCATCTGGCGCCACCACCCGGGAGGCCCCTGCCGCACGGCCTCGCCAGGTGTGCTCAGGGCTCGGCCTCCTGGCTGCAGGGGCACCGTGCCCCGTGTGGCCCATGGTCCAGCCCCTCAGCATCCTCCATGGACACACTGATGGTCCCAGAGTTGGGGGTGGTGAGCAGCTGGGTGGCAAGAGACCTGAGTTCCCGCCTTCCTTGCCCCGGCTCAGTCTCTGGCAGCGAGGAACCCTCTCCAGGTCCATCAGGCAGGCCCGTTGGACACTCGCCTGGGACCGCGGGCCAAGTGGCCACCCACCCTGCCCTCCCCACTGCAGCCAGGCTGACCCGTGAGGATCCCCTCCCCAAGCAGAGAGAAGGGCCTCTGCCCCCTGGGCACCCAACTTCTTTTCTCTGGCACCGGCCAGGTGAGGCCGTTCACGGATCTGGGGGTTGCGGGGGGGTGCAGGCAGGAAGGCAAGTGCCTCAGGCATTTCCGGTGTGTGACTGCCAAGGGCGCAGAAGGGGAGGCCAGCACCACCTGCAGCAGTGCTTGGCCTCAAGCAGTGCTTGGCATCCACATGCACCTCCCGACCCTTGCTGGGCCCTTGGGACTCATGCCCACAGAGTTGGGACAGGCTGGCTTGTCACGTTCCCTGACGCATAGAGGGCCGGAACCAGCGTGGCTGCTCTGGGGGACAGGCCAGAAGGGGCAGCTGAATGTGCGGGTTGGGTGGGCAAGAGAGCGGGGAGCTGCTCTGTGCCCTGGGTCTGTCTGCAGACTCAGCAGGTGCTGGGCACGGGGACAGCAGGCCAGGCGGGCAGCCCCCCAAGGCCTCTCTGGATGGGCCACAGGGAGGCCTGGGCTCCATGCTTCTGGCCAGTTCGCTCAGTCCCAAACCTGCCAGGGCCTGAGGTTCCCTCTCAGTCAGCAGCAGCCCTGGAGGCTGGCCTGCAGACAGAAGACAGAAAACCTCTTCCAGCCTCCCCTGTGAATGCCCTCCCGTCCGCCCTCCTGATGCACAGGCCCCGCCCGCGACCTCGCTGTCCAGTCAGTGCTGCGGACCTCCCACCCCCACCCCAGCCCTCTCGCCGCATGGTCCTCCCACCTCCTCCAGACGGCCCGCCCACCGCACCGTGGTCTGCGTCTAACTGCTGTTTTATTGGAAAAATATGGGGTGAAAATTGTGTGGGGCTCATTAGGGGGCCAGCTGGGCCTGGGCTGCTGCCTGCCGTCTGCCCAAGTGGCCCACCAGGTGGCTGGCCGGCCAGCACTCCTTCCCATCCCGTCTGTGGCCACAACCCTCCCTCAGGGATGTCTGTCTGTCCAGCCTCTGCCAGACGCCTTGCCAAGTCATGCTCCCAGCGCTTGGCCTCTGCCAGCTCCGGGGCTGTGGGAACGGGGCTGGGCCCTCCGTGGACAGCAGTTCGGCTCCCTGGCCAGCCCCCTCCTCCGAGCCCGTTCCCTTCGCTCACTGGGGCCCTCATGGTGCCTGTGCCTGGGGTGGAGGCGAGTGTCCGGCAGGGACCTGAGCCCCTGGCCTGGGATGAGCCGAGCAAGGCCACCTCCTCAGAGACGGAGGTGTGTCCTCCCACGACAGGCGGGGCCACGGCAGTGTAGAGGTGGGCGCCCTCCATCCCAGTGACCGCCTGGGTTTCCCCACGTCACCCGCAGGGTGGCCTGGCCCTGCCTGCTGCTCTGGAGTCGGGTGGGACCGGCTTCCGCCCACCAGGGCCCGGGTGTTGGCCTGCTGGTGTCTCCCCCTTGCATCCCCCCGTCTCTCAGGAGCAGGGAGGGCAGAGCTGGCACAGGACAGGTGTTGGGGCGCTGTCATTCTTCCGGCCCCAGGCACTGACCTCACTGCTCCCTGGCTGTTTGCTCCTCGGTACACTGGGCGTGGGAGCATCCATACTCGCCCTGATCTGGGAGTGGCGATGGGGTGGCGACCGCCGGGACAGCAGCAGCCCGTGCGGGCAGATCCGCGCCTCGGGGCTGGATTAGTCGGGC